ACATTTCTCCTTCGTGCTATATATCAGTAGGTAGATTAGTTCTCGCGGGGATTCTTTGAAGAGGTTCAAAAAATAGGAATATAATCAGAAGTGATATTTTACACTTCGCATGCTTTGAGTTGTGTATAGATAAATGTTATCATTTCTGCTTGCTTAATCATTATAACGTAGATATCTCTATTCTAGCAGATATATGGACGTCGATTGTATCCGCCATTTTCACATTAGCCTCACACCCAAAACGCCAGCTGCCTGCATGATTCCCACGCATGTGCATCCCAATCTTCCTGCTTACCACTGATTTCCTTGTCTGCTCTACTCGACTTCCATAGCCATCAGCCACTCCTCACTCACCCTCATAAATTTGGCTACAAAGGCTTCGAGATGGAAAATAACCTTCGTACCCGTCTTACACCTGTGTTCATAAAACGCAGCCCATTTGACAATATCGCTCTTCAACGCATCATCCACCAATGGCATGAGTTTCCATGTTAGGGTTTTGAGAATGGTTGTAGCGGGGATACAATGTGTGAGGAGATCGTAAAGTTGGGCACGGATTTTGAGGATCTGGGCAGGAGTGTGTTCGACGGTCATGCTGTGCGCGATGGTTGAGAGAAGCGCTTCCCAGTCAGGTGGTGGGATGGGGGTATTCTCTGTTATTGTCTCGCTGATGGTAGTTAGTATGATATCTCTCGCAAAAGTATATATAGTAGAAAGAATAACAGGTGTGAAAAGGGTAGATAAATCATACTTTTGCGCATGTGCTGCCTCATACATCAACAGCGCTCTCCTCAGGTTTCTGCCACTCTCCTTGGCAACTCTTTCCAAGAATCCTTTACTGACTCCCCACCCTTCCCTCTTTCCACTCGTCTCAAGCACCTTCACAATATCCCCCTCAGTTGGTGCTCCCACCCTGACCAACAACGTTCTACTCCTAATCGGTCCAATAATCCCCGAGGTACTATTAGCGACCAGAATCAATCTAACATTCCCACTATATTTCTCCATCGTTCTTCTCAGCGCCGCCTGAGCATCACGACTCAGCCCATCCGCCTCATTAATAACCACCACCTTAAACCTCTGCTTCGCACTCTGATCCACCTGCTGCGTCTGCGCCACTTCTTTGAGCAATTCCGAAATCACAACACGGTCGTAATTCCCCACATCCGAAGGCGTGATTTCCAAGTGATAGAGTGAAGAAACAATATTGAATTCGAGTTTTCGAGACGAAGTTGCCAATGCGAAGACACGGGAATCGATTTTTATTTTCTCGACGGCGGGCCCATAGAGTTCTTTAAGAGTACATACTATGCGAGTTTTCTTACCCGCACCGGAAGGTCCGTAGAGAAGAAGATGAGGGAAGTCGCCGGATTGTGCCTAGATATGATCGCCATTGTGAGTCCATGCTACGTCAAGTATATAGACAGCGTAATTGAAGAGATTGGTAAACGTACAAGAGATCTTAAACGATCAGAAAGGTCGTCATGGTAGGTTAGTTGGTCAAGAGACCGAGGACGGTGCTTATCTACAATGAGAGCCATGTTGTAATTTCGTTGTAGGATTTGGAAATTGAGGTTTGATTCAGTTTGGTTTCTGGTTTGAAAACGTTCTGGAGACGCGATGAACGCGTTTCGCGTAAAGCTGTTTTGCGGGGAACCACGTGAAATTCCATGTTAGAAGGCACCCAAGTTCAAAGGGGGTTTAACATCGGTTTGAAGCTCGAGTAGATTATTTTTGTCAATTTAGAATCAGCTTATTATTTTGAGCTCATATACAAGATTCAGACAATGTTACCTATGAGGTTGTCCTTCCAACTCCTCAAGATAACAGGCAGGAGGACGACGAAAGTCGTCCAGGTGATTTGAAAGCAAGTGGTGTGAATTCAAAAAGTCTATCTAATCCTACAAAAAATTCTAAGTTCAAATTATCCCTCCGATGCCCCTCTTCATGATGTGATCTCTAATGCTATAATGTAAAACGCCGACGCTTGAGCCAAGACCGCTAGTTATCTTTTAGAGAAAACATGATAAAAGTAAATTTCACAAAACTTGTTTTGCCTTCAACCAAACCTCTTGTTCGGCTCCAATCACAAAATAAACTCCTCATCCAACCAGTGCTTTAATACAATTCTTCCCTCATCAAAGCTCGGTTTGTCAACCCTAACAATGATAGCTGCATGACTGTGCCTGACCTTGTGAATGAAAACCGGGTACTTTCGCCAACCTACCTTATCTAATGCTTCTATCATTTTGAATTGATATGGCGCTAATGCCAAAGTAGGAGCAATTACGCCAGATTTCTCTGGGTCAGCAATTTCGCTATGGAAAGATTTAGTCCGTTCTCTAATCAAAGGAGATGAAGCGGATGCCTCTTCAGAGTCCGAATCAGAAGGCGTATTGAGGTATTCGTTGTCTTGGGTAGCATTGAGGTTCTCATACACATCTTCGACGGTTTCACGCATACTATTGATGAGCAGAGGGAATCGATAGTCGTTTGGTTGAATACCGGCTAAGCCTTGTTCGTGGAGACGAATACGTTTGCTACTGCGGACAGTCTGAACGGCAGAGTTTAAAAGGAAAGCGACGACACCGAATGGGATGAATACGACCAATGCTGCAAATAGAGGAAGATTTCCCAAGGTCTTCTTTGTGTTGGCCATGAAGCTCGTATTGGCATTTAGAACAGACTTGTCCAAAGGGGAAACTGGGTTGTGCCTGTCTAGAACAACATCTTCGTAACCTTCTACGTAGTTTATTTTGACATTATCCGGATTCGAAAATGGATCAGTGCTTGCAATTCCAGTGGTATAGTAAACGGCGCTTCGATCATTAACAATGTTTGCATATAATGTCCTTCTCTCGAATTTGGCTAATCCCTTCAAGAAGATTGATTCCGGATCTGCCAGGATCTCAAGTAGCGGCCTTCCTGTATCTCTAAACTTGTCTATCGTAAATAATTGTCGCCCGGAAGTTGACAGGGTTCTTGCGCCCAGGACGTTCCAGATGTGATTGAGAGATCCTTTCAAAGGTGTGCGGACACCAAGATGTGGGCTAGCAAAGGTGGTAATGTTCTATATATCGGAGTCAGATAGTCCATGTTACCTCTTGCATTCAGTATAGCAACATACCACTGGCTTGATCTTATCGAAAAACCCCTTGCTGTCAAGTAAGCCAACAGAGTAACGGGCCACAAGACCACCCAAGGAATAGCCAACGATGGAGAAGCTAGTAATTACTTGACCCTCTCTCGCAAGTTTCTCGACTTCTTCCTCTATCTCTGCAGTCACTCGCTCGCCACCCAACTCAATCCCATCATATGTAAAGCTACCACTGTTGCGTTTTGCGACCAATATATGAAGGGTATCCTCGGCATGTTTCGCTCGTAAAGATTTTGCCACTGACTCCAAATGAACTGGATTTCCCCAAAGTCTGCTCCGTCAGTATACAATGAATCGCAGAGAGAGATGAAACATGCACAACACTCACCCATGAACAAGCACGCAGAGATGCTGAGCATCACGGCTGCTACCGGTATAATCCATAACTTCGTTGCTGAAGAAGGCCCGGTCCAAAGAAGATAAAGAAAAGGGTAGCAATGTGACGATGGGGGTGGGAATGCTAGTAGTAAGAAAGTGTCTCTAAAGACACTTTCCAACCACTAACAATAAGCACACCGTCGCGTGCTCGGACTTTTGGATGTCCGGCGTACGTTTGAATGTATGATGCGTTCTTTACAGGGGTATCTGCAGCCTGGAATGCAGTTTTCAGGGTGCGCACAGCCTTGAAGATTATTTGGGAATGTCCAGAATGGAAATTGGAAGAAATGATGGAAAATCTATTTATGGAGATGAAGATGACAATGACAATGACGATGAGAGTGAATGCAACGAAAAAATCGTTCAGAAGAGCACGCTCTACTTACTTAGCCAGGCAGGTACTTTCAAATGATATATATATATCTAAATGTGATTGTGATAACGACTGCTTATAGGTGGATTCCCTCCTTCCTTGGCTTCCTCCACCAACAGATAGATAACATCGATAACGTTGATAAACCGACCAAAGATTAGAGGAATGATAGACGTACCGGTATCTCAAAGATATCTCAGAGGGTATCATTCATAGATGCCACTGCAGAAGTAGTGGCTTGTCGACTAAGATTCCGAGATTGTGTGCATCCATCCCCGATTCCCCGATTTGCCAGTCAGTAGGTACATATTGTAACCGGCATTTGATTTCTTGGAAGCCCACCGAGGTAGATTGATTCCCTGCTGAATTGACAGACTCAAATTCCTTAATTATTGCCTACCTTGGTCGTCTAGTCCGCTCGTGTAGTGCTCACGCAAAGCCTGAAGCGAAGTATGATGATAGCCGAATAGCTGTTGCAGTCTGAACCATCGGAAAGAACCCTGATAAAATAGAAACAATGAACATCAATCAATCCATTCAATCGCATTAATCACCGCGTGTACCCATCATTCACATTCATCACCAACTAAAGGAAAGAAGGGAAGGGACAGAAGAAGCAAAAAGCAAAAGCACAAGAAAAAGAAAAAGAAAAAGAAAAAGAAAAAAGGAAAGAACTCCAACCAGGAAGGATAGAGCTGCGAGTACCGTATGTTTACTTCCTAGCACCTGACTTGCGTGGCCTGAATTGCTTTGGATTGAAACTTGATCGCACCTCGTTGGCAAACAATCTCACAAACAAACAGCCTTAAGGTTCACGTGATATCTATCACAAACCCATGGTATTTTCTATTTTGTTTGTAAGCCCAGGAGATTCTTCATCTTTTATCAAAAGAATTCATTGTAACTCTTGGATAGCTTGACTACCTTTTGCTCACCTTCATGCGAAATTTTTCATTGACCGAAAGTCACGTCAATCATGAAAAGGGGATGACTGAGTGAATATCTAGCTTCTTCAACAATCCTATATCAACTTCATCTTCTGTCAAGCTTTGATTCTTTCGCAATCGCAGATTCCCTCTACAATCCCTCAAGATGTTTACTACCAAGGGTCTTTTTTCGCAAACCAAATGCCCAAATCGGGATAAGTGTCTGATTCCAAGATGCATATTTTTACATGATCATCGCGTCGACCAAGCAGTATCAAATGGGATAGCACACATAAAAGCTACTCAAAAAGTCGATGGAAGTGATGGTGATCAAGATGGGCAACGAAAGCGTCAAAAGATTGGTTATGGAGAAAGAAGTACAACTCCAACAACTGAGCCACCGCCTTCAATACCGACCTTAAACCCGACCATCACTGCACAGAAAGCAGTTGATAACAGAGCCGTTTCAACACAAACGTCGAAATCCACGTCGATAACTCGACGTGAGATTTCACCACCACCATTACGCCGCAAATCCCAAAATGGTACCTCTACAGCATCTACATCATCTCTACCAGCTAGTTCAAATAATATAACACCCCAAAAACAAAACGCGCCAGCAACAAGCAAAGTCCAGAAAGTGGTATCTACTCCGGTCAAGAAGCCCGAGAAGCAAGAACCTCTCAATCCACGTGCACGCAAAACTGCACCAGCTGTTCATAATATCCGGCTCAGACTTGTTCAAGCTCTACATGAGCAGTTGAAGCGTCTCAATTCCGAACTATCAAATGATGCAAATGGTGAAGAAAAGGAACTTGTATTTTCGGATCAAGGATTGATCACAAGGGCGTTAGATATGGAGGAAGCTGCTTGTGAAACACCTACCATCTATTCCAATGTTGTCAAGAACAAAATCATGGTCTACAAGAGAATGACTGTCGCGCAATGGAAAGAAGAGAGAGCCAAAGAGATTGCCAAGGAGAAAGCCTCGAGAGCACCTATCTCGGATACGCCAGCCAAGAAACCTGAAGGACCGCCAAAACCAATCGAGACAGGTCTAACTCCAGAAGAAGAATTGGCTATACTCCCAAGACTCTACACTCCCGTAACAGAGTTATCACAGCACGGATATGTCACCAATGTTCCCACACCTGCAGAGATTGAAATGGCGAAGAGCGGTATGGAAGCATCTAAAGGCTGGGAAGTTTGTGATCGTTGCAAGACGCGTTTTCAAGTATTCCCGGGTCGTCGAGAAGAAGATGGTATACTCGCATCTGGTGGCTGCTGCACATATCACTTTGGAAAACATTATTGGAAAGATCGTTCTTCGCTCGACCCCAAAGCCAAACGCGAGAAGAAATGGCGATGCTGTGATCAAATTATCGGGGAGACGTCTGGATGTACCACGGCCGATCACCACGTCTTCAAAGTGACCGAGGTCAAGCGTCTAGCCGCGGTATTGAATTTTGCAAAGACTCCCGAGAATGAAGCAGACCCGCCCATTCCTACCCAACCCGTCTGCATCGATTGCGAAATGGGCTACACAGTTCACGGCCTCGAACTCCTTCGTTTGACCGCCACCTCCTGGCCTTCAGGCTCTCCCCTTCTCGACGTTCTCGTCCGTCCTTATGGCGAAATCCTCGATCTCAATTCCCGCTATTCAGGCGTCTACCCACAAGATATTACATCCGCCATCCCCTACTCTTTTCCCGGCTCACAACAAATCGCCCAAAGCAAAGGAAAACTCCGCATCGTAGACTCACCTGCCATCGCCCGCACTCTTCTCTTCTCCTTCCTCACTCCCTCAACTCCAATCATCGGCCACGGTCTAGAAAATGATTTAAACGCTACCCGATTCATTCATCCAACCATCATAGACACGGCTTTATTGTTCCCCCACAAAGCAGGATTGCCCTATCGAAATGGCCTTAAAATGCTCATGCAAACTCTCCTGAATCGCAATATTCAAATGATCACTTTTACCGATGGAAAAGCAGATGGTCACGACAGTAAAGAAGATGCAAATGCGGCAGGCGACCTGGTTCGATTCCGAGTGGGCAAAGAGTGGGAAAAGATGCAGAGAGCAGGATGGAAGTTGAATAATGGAATCTTCGAACCCCCTGAAAATAACGCGGATGCAATGAGTGGAAAGTGGTGGTTGGGAGAGAAGGCATTTGGAGAAAATAATGCAAATGCGGAGGGCGAGGATAAAGCAGATCTGCAGCACATGAACGAAGAGAATATCGTAGTAGGTGTCTCTGCGGGTTCAAAGAGACGTAGAGAGGAGATGGAAGAATAAGATGAAGTAAGATGAGATGAAATACATAATCAACGAGGAGCAGTACATTCTCATCGATCATTCTTTGCAAATTCCCAATTTTGATAGAGGATTAAGGCGTTCGGGCATCAAAAAAATAAATTGGTACCTACCTGAAGGATGATTGATTACATGAATGACATTTCTTCAATCGTCTTCTTTGGAGTAATTCTTTTTTCATAATAGCTGGCAGGCACGTATCTACGTTTTTATTTGCTTGCTTGCGTAATTTTTACATACATATCTACACATATACATACATACATACCCAATTCCACACGCAGAGAGCTGGATTCGCGTTGGTCGATAGATAGATACCTAGTTAGCAAGGATTTTTTAATATGATGAGAGATTGCTTCGTGGTGGTAGAGTTTACGGATTATTATAACTGATAACTCTATATCTATTTATTTCCCTATATATCCATCATCGCATCCGGATCTGATATTTGATATTTGGTATCAGGAGATACATATAGCTACCTAGGATACAATAATACAATAGGTAGAAACATATCTAGACCATAAATCATTTTTTTTTCACAGTCCATTTATTCGTTTATTCATTCATTCACTCATTCGTCTATTCACATTCACATTCACATTTCACATTCATCACCCTCATCGCCCTCATCACCATCATCACCCTCATCGCCCTCATCACCATCATCACCCTCATCACCCTCCCCTCAGCCCTCAATCTCTTCCCTTGAAACCCCAAAGTAAAAATCAAAACTATCTTGGTATCATTTCATTACCTAGGTATGTACCCAATAGGTATGTACAAGAAAACTTGCTAATCATACAATCCAATCGCGTCACAACATCTATCTATCCATCCATCCAGCGCTCATCCATTTATTCATCAATTCATGCATCTCTGATCCCCTCATTATCCAGGTGGGTATCTCTAAAACGAAATAACCCCAAACCAAACCAACCACACTGCACTCAGAAAATAACAAGCGACCACCAAAAATATGAATTCTCTTTTTATTATCCATGGAGAACATGCTTTTACCCACATATGCAGCGCGAGTCTTTTTAGAAACCGTGACTGTGTGTATAGTCTAAGTCTAGTGATCTTCCAACTCCAGTTTTTACGTCGAAATCATATGATATGATACGATACGGATATCAAATCTATCGACCAATTTCAGTTCCAATGCAAGTCCCAACCCAGGAATATGAAAGGAAGTACTAGAATGATATATTGAATCCTGAAGGATATTTGTATACAAGTTGTCAGATGTCAGATTGAAATCTTCTACAATGCACATGTGAGGTTTTGAGATAGCATAAAGCCGCATCAGACCATCATCACGACATCATATCAGAGTCCAAGTCCAAGACCTGAGCAACGACTCCGTAAAAGGAGATTAGCGACGACCACGTGGAGCACCCCGAGCAGGTCCGCCTCCGCCTCTACCGCGATAGGCTTTGCCACGACTTTGACCACCACCTCTAGGAGGGTTATTGCCAGATTTATGCTTTGGCTTATTCTTCTCTGCACTGCCACCACCACCACCACCTCTACGACCGCCACGGCCACCACGGTTCCCAGAAGGTCCTCTAATATTTTGGTTGCCGCCAGTATTGCCTTGGAATTGGAAGGGGGGAGCTTGATTGAAAGATTGCATTGCACCAGCTTGGGAGAACTGAATGTGACCATTTCTGGGGGCCATGTTGACCTTGGGTTGGATGAAACCTTCATCATCATCGCTGTCATCCAAATTAATGGGATCATTGGCTTTTCCCTTGATGGTGAAGCCCTTCTTTCCACGATTCGGAATTGAATAGTCATTACCTCCTAGAGAATGAGAGTCATCATAACTGTTGGGACCATCAAGAAATTTCTCCATGTTGCTAGTCGACCAAGACTTTCCGCCAGAAGCAGGTTTACCACGATATAGTCCACATTCAGGGCCAAAGTGACCTGGACGACCACAAAAGTAGCAAAAAGCTAGAATATTGCGAACCTTTTTTATCTCATTCGGATCAGGAAGAAAACTTCTCCAGATTACATGACATTGATCCTCAAGATGACTTGTAGATTGGCATGTATTGCACTTGGCATCATCTTTGATAGCACGCAGCTTTTCAGAACATTGTGAGGTCTGATGGCCCACTTCTCTACACTTACCACAGATCGTAGTCCGAGGACAAGCTGGAGTGAGATGATCTCCCTTACTGCCACAAGAAGAACAAGCATTGTCAGAACATGCACTTCGATCATGTCCACTTGAGCCACAGATCAAGCACTTCCTAAGGATGACACCGTCGGCGGATGGAAAATATTTCAGAATTGCAGCATGGTCCTCTGGAGAGATACTCGGACGTAAACCCATTTCGCGTGCCGCCTCGAACTCATGATCATCATCGGCATCAGTAGCAATACCACTATCTGATGAAACTTCCATTTCACTTCTGGCTACTGAGTCTGACGAACCATGATCCATCTGAACTGTCCCGGCTTCAGTGGGGATCGTGCGATCTCTGGTCGGATCGATAGAATTTGTAACTGGGACGGGAGCAACCTGAGGAGACTCCTCGCCATTGGATTCTGTTATCAATTTGGACGTCGAGGCATTCTTCTGTTTCATCGGAGCTTCATCTTTGACTGTACCGTCATTGGTAATTGCCGGGGAAGCGTTTTTTTCATAATGATTTGTCGCGCGGGCTAAAGTTGGTAGACCCTTTTTAGCATTCTTGAGGACCTCAATTGGAGACGGAGCTTCTGCCACAAGAGAAGATATGAATTGTTCCTTTTGTGGGATGTGGTTGTAGAAATAAGACAAGTAACTTTTGACGGCAGCCTTAGCACGTTTGTCTGGTAACGCACGCCCAAAGAATTCGTTGTTTTGCACGAGCGAAAGAAGGATATCAGAATAGGTGATATCCTTACTCGTGATTGGTTTGCCTTCCTCACTGTAAAGCTCTTGCAACTGAACATCACCGCCGCCGAACGAATAGCATCCTACAGGCTGGTCCTTTTTCGTTGGAGTTGGGTAAAAAGTCAACCCCTCTCCAATAAACTTCAGGCAGCTCTGTTGAGATTCTTCCGGCACTGGCCAACCATGAAGATCTATTAAAGCGGAAACATCTTGAGTATATGATTCCATCAGAGCCAGTTGTTTATCCTCCCCTAGCTTGTTAAATTGTTTCTTGGTCATCGGCTTTTGCTCAGATCGACCCTGAGATTTTTCAATGGTATTATTTGGGATTGGTTCTAGTTGCTTCAAGGGAGTGCTTTGAGACGGCGGTGGTTTCTTGCTCTTGAAAGATGTTCGCAGTCCACTCTGTACGCCTTGATTCCAGGTTGCCGGTGATCCAACTTTTGCTTCAGACGTGAGGGTGCCTATCGATTCCGTTGGCAATGGCGAAGACGTGAGATCGACCTCGACTTTGGCAGATTCGTTGGCGGATGGCTTTGCCCTCTTTCGAGGTTGACTTGCAGATTCATCCGAAGAAGAATCGATAGTGACAAATTCTCTACCTTGATCCGCGGATGTTTGTAAAGCACGTTTCCTTCCAACCACATTCGATCGCGAGTCAACCACATCTTCTGCTGGTGAATCCATGTTTGATGATGCTCCCCCGGTAGATCAAGATCAAACCAAAATCAAAGCAACGAGATGCGACATTCACACGCTTGATTCGAATGCGCGAATGCGTCTGGGTAGAGGTATAGGTATGGGTATGGGTAAAAGGCGAGAGGGTTGTACTTTTGGTTGTCCTCTTGTGCGAGCGGGGTCCTAGAAGAATTAGTGAAAGCTGCTGAGATGTTCAATTATCCTTTGTGGAACGTAAAGAACAGATTCAGATAATCAAGAGAATTCCTAAGGATGCAATGCTTTGCTATTCATACATCGTTGATTTATTGGTTGTATAGTATCGTCGCAGAAATGCGATACTTGGTACCTCACTCTGTCTGTCGGGACTGTGTAAATAGATGTTGTCTCAAAATTTAATAATGTGAGTTTCTGATATCACGAAAATAATTATTTCTGGAAATTATTATCGGTCTAGGTGAAGAGATTTGATTGGTCAAATGAACTATATATTGTTCATTTCGGTGAAACTAACTATAAATGGAAATGATCCTTGAAGATTGACCCTTGTTATTGGCTCCTTTTTAAAAGAACATTCCAAAGAGATTCTCGATTCATTTTTTTGCCTTGTATCGAATTTTATTTTTGGCCTTAACTATGGGTTATGATTTATATTATATAATATTATATTATCTACACGTTATCTGGATACGACTAGGTACCATACCTGCATACCTAGGTAAATAATACCTACCCAGTATTCGTATTCCAGTCTCTACCAAAGGATTAAAAGGATTAATAAAGAAACATCCCGCTCGAGCAAAATCTACTTTGAATACTGTACTTACTAAAAGAGCCTACCTAGGTATCGACCCTTATATTACCTTCATCTAGGTACTATAACGGAAAAGTTAGTCCGATCAGACTTCCGAGCATTAACCCCATCAATCCCCATCTCCATCTCCCCAAGAACACCAAGACCGAAAGACGACTAAAAACAGAACAACAACACCATATAAGAATATCACCAAACCCCCCCCCCCCATTCGTCCCCCCCAATTCTCATCATCCACCACATATCTCTACATCTTACATTCTATACAGCAACTTAAGCCGTCGTCTCTGTTGTTTCGTTTTCTATCTTCATTTTTCTCCTTTCTCCTCCCTCGTTACGCCTCCCGCCTCAAGCTTTAGGTCTCCTACACTTTCACAAGCTCCAGCTTCCCTCTGAAGTTCTGCTTAGACTTTCTGATTATTGGCAGATTCAATTCGATTCGAATCGGATCTCAATCATTTTCGTTTCCTTCTATCTACAGTCTCTCGTTTCATCAACATTTAAACTGCCTCGCAATTAGGCACTCAGAAGTAAGCCCCTAAACTTTCTCCAAATTCATGCATACCTTACCTGGGTCAATACCTCAATTCTTGCGGAGATCCGCATTTCTCACTTTGCTTACTGCACTAAATTGCATGAAACATCCAATGAGCTCATCGCTGACGTTGTAACTGTAGCTAGAACCCTTCGACAGCCGCCATCAGATCTTTCATATCCCTTCTCCAAATTCGAATATACATCTTAACATTACAACAAGACGCTCTCTCGGAGGCGTTTCTTAACCTTCAAAATTCCTTCCGCAACCACCGCCAAGCTGTCTTCCCCACTCCTCCTCCCTCGCACAGTCTCTTACGACGCGAGTTCAAATCCACCTCGTCCAAGTGGTCCGTATCGAACAATGAGTGAGCAAAAGGTTGGACGAAGGAGGCGGTCGAGCAGTTTGCTATATCAGGAGCCACCGGAGACGATTGAGCATATGAGTGATCAGGCGGCACTACCCAATCTCAATGCCAACTGGGTGAACGCAAAAGGTCAGAAATTCCTGGATTCGATTATGTGCCATGTAGCAATTGGAGCATTTTTTATAGCATGATTTCTACGTGGGATATGATGAATATTGAGTTCCCAATGCTAATTACTTCATTCAATAGGTGCCTGGACCATACATCTGGTTTTAATCGCATGCCTCAAGATTCTTTTTGATATAATTCCTGGTGTTTCCCAAGAGACATCTTGGACATTAACAAATATATCATACATGTTTGGTTCTTTTCTCATGTTTCATTGGGTCCGTGGTGTACCATTTGAGTTCAACGCTGGAGCCTACGACAATTTGAACATGTGGGAACAAATTGATAATGGAGCTCAGTACACGCCTGCAAAGAAATTTCTCATGAGTGTACCAATCGTTTTGTTCCTAATTAGTACTCATTATACCCATTACGACCTCACCTACTTCATCATCAACTTTCTCGCCGTTCTCGGAGTTGTGATACCAAAATTGCCTTACGTAAGTTTTTCTCAACCAAAATTCCCCATTTCCCATCTTCTATTTCATGTTCTCATATCGAAGACCCTGAATGTAAAACATTATATTGATATGACTTTCTCAGAGCCACCGAACTAGAGTTGGTCTATTCTCAGCGCCAGAAGACAATTACAGATGATACGATATGATATTTGAAAGTACGTCGAAGTACATGATTGCATCCAATTAGGCGTTTGTTTGTACGATATCTTGAGGCTTCACTTTTTTTTCATTTCAGATAATGATGAGAATACACTGGTTAACACAAAAGAATCCGGACCCGGTGAACTGTATCTAGAAATAGGGATGGAGTTTAGGTACATTTACAATTCTTGGCTATCTTTCTAAAATTGTTCTAATACGGATTTGATCTTTTTATCTTCTTCTCGTTTTTTCCTTTTCGTGGTGAATGTGTTTTCCCTTGATGAGCAGTCACTGGTAAAGGTGACGCTGTTTTCCTTCATAAGACCTATTGAGATTTGACCAGGAGATTTACCCTAATGAGCCATTGGCATTTGGTAATGGGACGGTGTTTTCCATAACCTGTCCTGTTGGTATTGGTGTCCTTGATAAAAATTCAATGGCTCTTTTATTTTCCTTCCAAAATCGAAACTTTGAAGTTGTTCAAATTCGGTATTTTTGTCAGACACATTTCCCGTACGGAAGATACGGAATCAAGGTTCAATTCCCTTCTTGCGTGGGTACTAAGTTGTAGTACCTACTAGATATGTAATTCTGCCGGTCCTCCGTTAAACTTTACAAGAAGCGAAATCTCTAGAATGATCAAGGCCTTGATACATATGATTTCTATGGCATTCCTCCGTGAACCAATCAAAAGCATGAGTATACGAGAGTTTGTTATGAACTTTGATAAGGACTATGTAAGCCAAGAAGTTGAACGACTAACAATTCAAGTTTTCCCCGAAAGGAAACCGTTGCAAGAGAAAACTTTAATGCGTTCAACAAACCCACAGACATTCTCCTAGTCTCTGGGGATCTCAACACTAATCCCCTCAATCAAACTCTAAGTCGTGGTGACCAGCCAGTCCTGATTGTCGAATCTATATCTATTGATATCGTCATGATGGTCTTAGTTGTTGAGGCAATACTAGTATTGGCTTTAGTCGATTACGTTTGAATTGAAAATTCAAAATATCTTCCAAGATATTGCTGTGCCGACAATATTCATTACTCATGAGGAACTTGCTAGTTCACTTTCCTCACTAAACTCTACGTCAGTAAGGTTTATCAATATTTACAATCACATGCATTGTATATACTCTCGTCAGGACCGGGGATCTTTTGAACTGATGCTAGCCTCATTTACTTTCGATGGCTAAGTCAGGAAACTTTAGGCGCTTAATAGCTTGAGTCCCATGAACTACCGAGGACGCTAATAAATATTTCACCCTAAAATCAATCTTGTCGGGAATATCTTCAACTTTTTTTCCAACCTCTCTGTTTTTGTACGACGTAAGACGTAATTCAAAGATGCCGATGGTTGAAAATGCATCTCGTAAGTACCCAATGATGCCGGTCTAAACTTGGGATTCATGGTGTTCTTGGGTATTCTCGAATATACGCCGGACGTGACTCCGATGTCCTTGGGGATCGTGTTTTGCAGCTAAAAGTTCATCATCCATTATCAACCATCCGCTCTTTCTGGAGTCAGACTAGGATTTATATCGCCAGACATATCAACTTCATAGAGGGAAAACTGTTTCCTAGAGCCAAATTTTGAATTGAAGATCAACCTCGTAAGACAGCATCTGCGGTGCTGTAATGGAACTATAACCTTGTATGGCATTCATCAAATGGCATGCCAGTTTTCAATTTTTGGGAATGGCAATCACTAATGAAACTACACTAACTCATGATGTTTGATTGTCGGAACTGGCTTCAAGAGCCAAGTGGGTTTCTGAAGAGTTTTCAACCTTAAGCACTTGATGTACCTCCTTAGTTTTACCTTGATATTCCTCTAAAATCCCCCCCCCACGCTCTTGAGTGTTGACATCCAAGAACAACTGGATCCCGCTTGGTACCATTGGTCCATACAGTCATTGCAAATGTCAAGAAACCAGATTGATTGATGATTTAGAGCTATCGACTGTGGCAATTGCCGTGCATTACCGCAAGTTTGACCCGAGTGGACGTCACTTCCTAGATTTCTCCATACCAAGCCCTGATAGTCGCACCATGGTAACCAATTACATGTTTACTTGATCTCGTGCGTCTTTGATCTGCTCTAGGAAGACCGCACTTTGGTCGAGCTTCTAAGTTTGGAACAGTAGCTAACGTTACCCGGCGCATAGCTCATGAGCTTCTAGAAATCTTATCAATAGCTTCTGTGGTTGTTCATGTCGCCATTGTTGGAATACGGTATCATCACGATGACGTTGGCTTAAGACGCTAACTTTTAGGGTGTGGTGGATTTGTATAAATATCGATTCTTCCCCTCGAAAAGGTTGAAGTCTTATTGCTTATTCTAGCAGTCAATCGTTTCTAATTCACAACACACCCTTCTCTTTACAACACCTCTTCCCTTCACAACATCTCCTTTCCTCTACCCAAAAACACTGAGTCACGATGAAGCTCAACTTAACCCAGACAGCTGCCATCCTCGCATTCTGCGGAGTTGCTACCGCACAAAACTCCCAGAATGGCCAAGTTAATGGTCAAGTCAGTGGTCAAGGTAACATCGTAGCTCAAGGTGCTGCAAGAGCCAACGGCAACGGTGCCGGTGCTGCTGCAGGCGCTGATAGCAACATTGCTATCCTTCAAGGTATGTCATCATCTCTAGGAGTTTCCCTGAAAGGGTCTATCAAATGATGAATAATTTAACCTCGTCAGGTAACACCAACAACGGCGGTAACGTCCTCGTCAACCAAGGTAATGCTTCATACATTACTCAAATCGTCAACGCCTACGCTACCTATTTGCCCGCACCTACCACTATCACTCACCAGAACTCTGTCGTTACTGTAACAAAACCAGGATGGGTCACCATCAGTGCTTGCCCAACTGGCTGCACCATCATCAACAAGGTCGACACACCACCTACCGTGACCCCAGTTGGACCAGTCATCTCCAAGACAACAGGCCACGCTTCCCCTGTCGCGACCACATCTGTTAAACTCACAATTGTCCCCGTTATTTCAACTGTCAATAACACAGCAGTTCTTGTTTCCTCAACTGCCAAGATCACAATAGTCCCTGTTTCTTCAGTTGCCAAGACCACAATAGTTCCTGTTTCCTCAACGGTTCAAACCACTATTGCCAGAATCACAACAGGACCTGCTTCCTCTGTAGTTCCAGGTATCGTCTCCGTCGCCGTCCCTATCTTCAAAAACGGAACCACCACTGCCGCTACTGTCCCAGCTGTTGTACTTACCTCAGCTCGTGTCTCCAATGGAACCATTGTTGCTACGGCTGGTTCCCCTGCTCAGACTCAAGCTGGTCAATCTGGTCCTGCTGGTCAAGCAGGTCAATCTGGAGCTGGTCAATCTGGTCAATCTGCGCCAGGTCAATCTGCGCCAGGTCAATCTGCACCAGGTCAATCTGCACCAGGCCAATCTGCACCAGGTCAATCTGCACCAGGCCAATCTGCACCAGGCCAATCTGCACCAGGTCAATCTGCACCAGGTCAATCTGCACCAGGCCAATCTGCACCAGGTCAATCTGCACCAGGTCAATCTGGAACCGGTCAATCTGGTCAACCTGGAGTTGGTCAACCTGGCGCTGGTCAAGGCGGAGCTGGTCAAACTGGTCCCGCTGGTTCCGCAGGTCAAGCTGGTCAATCTGCGCCAGGTCAATCTGCACCAGGCCAATCTGCGCCAGGTCAATCTGCGCCAGGTCAATCTGGTCAACCTGGAGCTGGTCAACCTGGTCGACCTGGCTTTACTGGCCCCGCTGTATCAGGCACAACCTCATCTAATGGCTCCAGCACTAGCGGCCCAGTCACCTTCCAAGGTGCTGCTTCTGCCAACGGCGTCAGCGCTGCTGCAGCTCTCGCTGCCGTCGCTGCCATCGCCATGGCTTTGTAATTACTACCTTCGCAACCTTCTCGCAACAATATTCATATTGCGGGAGGGCTGTCTCTAATCATCAAGGTTGGGACAGGGGTAAGGAGTTCGGGGGTTTGGAATCTTTACTGGAGTTTGGGAAAAGGATCAAGGATACATACGTTGTTGTTATAATCTAATTATGGGTATTTAATCTGGGCTGGTTTTGGGGGGGGGGAGTTCCGGATATCCTGCTGTCTCTCGCAAGAAATAATAGCGGCACGGCAGTGATTTGGGGTATACAAAAGTTCGAAAGGGGGCTTGGGCTTTGGGAGGCAGTTTCTCTCGTCAAAGATCGGATGATCATTAGCCACGGATCATGTGGATTTTTGGTGCTATCATTTTCAGATCACTTAGTGATCCGCGAGTATCGATTTATATTGATGCGAGTGTCTTAATGCACGATCAGAACACTTTGAGAAATGACATTGGAGTTAGGGGAACATTCGCCATGGGGCTTGAGTATTGAAGTGGTCCGCGAGTATCGATTCGTATCGATGCGAGTGTCATGACACGATCAGATCATTTAGTGATCCGCGAGTATCGATTTATATTGATGCGAGTGTCTTAATGCACGATCAGAACACTTTGAGAAATGGCATTGGAGTTTGGGGAACATTCGCCACGGGGCTTGAGTATTGGGGGCGTCACGGCTTGGGAAAAATGTATAATTATTAATGGGAAGAAACTACGTCCATCAAGGGATCGAAAACGGGAAAAAATGGGGAAAAACGATAAAAACTCAACGAAAAAAAACCATCAACGCCGAGAGGAAAAGAAAGTACGTCCATCAGGATCGAAAAGGAAAAAATCGAAAAAATAAACAAAGCCGGGGAAAAAAACATAAAAAGGATGCATGAGCAATCGTTTCAGGGGGACTCATACCAAAAACAAGTGGAAAATAGATGAAGAAAATCACAAAAAAAAGGGGATGTTTATAAACAAAAACCATTCAAAAAAAAAGCTTTGTGTTTTAACATGAAGTGTTTGGGAGTGTGAAATGCTAATCTTAGGGGTGGCTGTTGAGTTTTGAGTCTAGCCTTTCAAGTGAAATCAACACTCCGCACTCTCTCGTCTGATCAACTAATCCCCGGAATATGGGCATCGTGACTGACATGTCAGTATGTCATGCATGATGCTTGCAGGGGTAATGGGTTAGGATCTGCAACTCGCGGATTAGAGAGAGGTAAGTCGGGTATGGGGGAGGGGCGTTTTGGTATGGGGTTCTAGTGTTTGTCTGTCTGGCGGTTTGTGGAAGGGCGTTTTTGGTGGAATTTCTATACAGGGGCCTCGTACAGGTTACATCATATGTATCGTATGTACATGTCGCACTCTCTCATCTGGACTCGTCTTCATAATACTGATATCATGGTTGACATGGATTTTGCCATGCCTGATGCTTGTAGGGGGATGAGTTAGGAGAGGTAAGCCGATGACTTGTGGAAAGGCGTCTCTGGTGGTGTTCTCGGCGGGATTCTCGGCGGCGTTAAAAGGACGTTCAAGATCGTTATCGACTGCTTTATCAATGGCGTTTCGGTAAAGGCGTTCCGGCAAAGGCGTTCCGGCAGAGGTGTTTGGGAATTGTATTCGAAGGGCAATATGCTCGGTCGAGCATGTCGCACTCTCTCGTCTAATAGACTAATCCCCGGAATCTGGTATCATTGGGGTATGGTACTTGCAGGGGTAAAGATTGGGATCTGTATATGTCTTGGGAGTATTGAGTGCTGGTAGTGATATGTCTGTATGTCACTCACCATACTCTGCTACAATACTCTAAAGCAACTATAGATTAGAGAGGGGTAAGTCGGGGGCATGGGGGCGTGATGGGAAGGCGTTAGGGTATCACTTGCAGGCTGGACAGCGACAGGATTCTCTCGGGGACGGGGCGTGAGGGAAACGAGTATTATCTCGTGAATTCCATTGCTGTTTAACGTATAATATTCATTGTATATACTTACTTTGGGATATGGGATTATGGGGGCTTCACTTGAGGGTAATGGGATAGGCGCTATGGTTGAAAATAGGGGCGATGGGGTCTTTCGGTTGGGTGGTAGGCGGTGTTGATGGGGGACTGGGGCGTTTTGGTATGGGAAGGGGAAGGGGCGTAACGGTTGAGGATTAGAGGGGGGATTAGATATAGGCGACTGTACCTAATTCAATACCGATACCTCAAAATTTTGACTGTGTTCGAGTGACTTTGATTCTGGCTATGTATAACGTTGAATATAGAATCTATTTCTATACTCTTTATGGTGCGAGGTGGGGTGCTGAAAGTTCTCGAGGCCATTTAGAGAGTATGTTGGAATAGATATGTACAAGTCAGAATAAAAATATCAGGTCCTCATAAAACATTTCAAATCGAAATACAATAAAATCAATCTTAACCAAAAACAAACAAAGAAGTTTCCCCCCATTTTCACAGCAACACCCCCTCTCATACTTCATCACCTTTACCCCGCAATTAGCAACCCCACCGAGCCCACAATAGTCTCACATCCACCTCTATCAAACGAGCGATATCTAAGCACCGCGTCTTGGGATAACTACGGAAGCACTATTTAATCTTCTCAATCAATCACATTAACTTCCATTACATACGTGATTCTTATCAAAAGTTTCAACACCACTGCTATCATCGTCTTATCTCAAACCATTCCACTATCGTCGTACACCTCGATAGCTGAGATATCCTTTAGGTAATCTGTTTGTGACAGGTCGATCCACCACTTCGCTATCTAAGTCCACATTTGTCTGGTATTTACTGTGCCTCTATTTTTGTGTTGACTGGCGTGTGTATATATTGATACATCCAGGGACTCCGTGATCGGCTTGATATTCTAAATTCAAAATTGAGATCGAGATTGAGATTTGAAGAGTGCTATATCTTTACTACGAGGGTTGATCGTCTGTTTATTATACGCCATCTTAAGATTATTTATCTCCTGATAAGATAAAACGAAGAACAATAGGCTGGAAATTATGGCACCCTCAGCGACTGAATCACATCTTCCTATTCAGAAGAAAACAGGGGATATTTCAACCGCAAAGGATGAGAAAGTCGAACATGTTCATGGTGGAGAGGATTTAACTCCTTTGGAGGCGATTAGTCATGGGGGTGTGGTTATGTCTGGTGAGATATGATGGATTTTCCTTGTGTCTAGGGTTTCATGGGAAAATGGGAGTAGTGGGCGTGGAAGTTGAGCGTCCTGTATTGTTGAGATGAGTTTTGGAGGATTGTGAAGCTAGATGATGAAGGGGGTAGAAGGCATGGGCGTTACTGCGTGGTCCTGTTTTGCAAGTGCAAGATAGAATCATTCTGTTGGATGGCTAGTTTCTGTCTGGCTTGAGTATGCGAAATATACGAGGATAATTATGTATATCCATCTTCGCTTACAAAAGCTCTACTGTGTTTTTTCCCTTCAAAATCACTCCCTCATTTATTAACAATATTGTTAGGTATTCCAGCCTTTTCCAATCATGCTGATCACCGTCGCCACATCCTCATCCACATGGCGGCTGTCTTCCGAGACTTCTCTCGTCGTGGCTTCACCGAAGGAATGGCAGGACACATCTCTGTCCGAGACCCAGAGTTTGAGAACTACATCTGGATGAACCCCCTCGGTCGACATTTCGGCCTGATGACTGCTGGTGATATGATATGTTTAGATTTAGAGAGTGGAAAAGTCGTAGGAGGAAATCAAGTATGAGCTTCCTTTCGCAAACAGTGAAGATGAACATGGAAAGATGTTGTCATTAACTTAGTCATAGTCTCGTCCTGCAAATGCCGCTGGGGTTTTGATCCATTCTGCAATTCATAAAGCACGTCCTGACGTACATGCTATTTGTCATGCACATACAAATGCTGGTCGAGCATGGTGAGTCTTTTGTTCAAAAATTTACCACATACAAGTATTAACAATACCAAGGTCCGTCTTCGGTCGACCCCTCGATATGCTCAATCAAGACATCTGTAACCTTCACAATAGCATCGCCGTCTATGCTTCCTACGGCGGCATCGTCTTTGCCTCTGAAGAAGGCGCCAACATTGCGCGAGCCCTCGGTCCCCACAACAAAGTAGCCATCCTCCTCAACCACGGCTTATTAAGCACCGGATCCACCGTCGACGAAGCGGGATTCCTCTTCGCGCTCTTAGATCGCGGATGCGAAATCCAATTAAAAGTTGAAGCGGCGGTGGGAGGAACCCGCGATGCGAATGGAGAGCTGAAGAAAGGAGTGTATGTGATTGAGGATGAGGAAGCGGCGTATAATTTCAAGATGGCGAGTGAGAAGAATGCGTTGTATGCGGAGATGCAACCGGATCTGGAATTTGAGATGGAGATGGCGGGGCCGGGGGTGGTCGAGAGGGGTGTTGAGAAGCAAATTGTGGATCATGGATTGTGAGGAGGTGAGGCCTGGAAGCGAGGAGGAACTTGGAAGCGAGATGTGGGATTCTTGGAGGTGCGAAATTGTGTGGTTACAGTAGTCGCTTCTCTGTCGGTGTTTGGAATTATTTACATCTCCCTACCCAGATTATCTCCTTTCCAATCTGAACGTGAAATCGTGTGGGAATTTATTACTTATTGTAAGGTTACAATTCCCCGCCCCTTTTCCTAAAGAAAACAAAAATAAGAAATGGCATGCCCCTTCACCCCAGAACCCGCAAGACATTTGTTTCTTCACCACTACCTACTACTCACTACCTGCAAAATCACAAAACAATCACTACATCACTACATCAACTCAACATGATAACAATACCAACCCCCAAATTATAACATTCACATCCGCTACTACGATATACGAGTGAAGACTTTTCCACACTCCTCAAATCCATGCCTTCCAATTTCTCCGCAAGCAAAACTCGTCGTTTCGCTATGCGTGCGTGTGTTATGTATTCATGTTATGGATTCATGAGGATTAACCATTTGATGATTCAAAATGAAGTATATATGTTACATACATACATACAATACACTAGTCTTTCTATCTTACACAGCTGTGTGTTAAGTATATATGTATGTATGTATGTATGTATGTATATTCCGAATTAATGTATAGTTATAAAATATATAAAATTGATTTATTCCATACCCAACTAAAAATTTGTCTATAATAAGAGAGTGTGATTGGATATAGTACTTACTTCATATTGCATAGCATATTGTATATTCTAGACATCTAATCTAAGATCCGAGAATTTTCATTATCCTCGGATCCTGGAAATTACCTAGCTAGGTATGTACTGCACTCTCCCTGTCTAGGTATCTCGAGGGTATGTAAGGTTAGATATCTTCCCCATGATTTCCCAAACGGAAAGGAAAGCATCTTTTCGGTCCGTTCACTCGAGATGATCTCGGTCTCGGTCTCGGGATATTGTGATCTTGAGATTTATTATGTTGTCACATGATTGGTGATGTGAAACTGGATTTGGATGCACCTTTGACTAGGTAGATAGATACTGTACGTACTTCGTATTTCCATTGCACCTAAAAGTTACATACCTCCCTAATCTTCGTTATACAAGAAACGATACGAAAAATACACTTCGTAAAAAGCGTCACACATACACACATATCTACATCGTACATCTTGTGCTTCATAAAAATCAAGGGGAAGGAGGCGAAACCCAATTCGGAGTATGAGAAGTATTCGCTCCGCTCCGTAAGCAAGGAGGATGGATTGGATGTCTGGATGTTTCTTTCCATATATCAGTTGATTAGTTGAGAGGGGGTGTTACCTGATATGGCATAGTCGCGGATGAAAGAACCGTTTTTGTCTTTGATTGAGATGATTTTCATCATGGACCAATGAGAAGCAGTAGTGAGGCTCCGGTACAACTTACCACGCTGGTGTAGGAACTGGGATCGAGGGTTTTTTCTTCTTTTGCTTGGAGGGTGTGGCTGATGGTGTGTGTGGTGGTGGTGGTGGTGGTGGTGGTGGTGGTGTTGTCTGTGTGTGTGTATGTGTGTACAGTGCTTGTACTCGGTATAGATAGGAGATTGTATTGTTGGTACGATGTATTGTCGAAAGAGTGATATGTATTGATGGTACGATGTAGGAGATACTAGGTAGGTAGATCGCTTCACGATAGGTCGTTGGATGTGATTCGTAACACTGTGGGATTTTATGAATGTTTTGGTCTTGATAGATCATTAGGTTTTCTGGGGAGCGATTTCGATCGAAGACATAGGTATGTCTATCCATAAGTGTCTATGCCAACCTTGGAATGGCTCATGCCCCTTGTCATGGTAATTTCTACACATGTCTTAACGGCGGTGATATGATTGATATCTTGGATAATATGGTGAGTGACTAAAGTATGAGATACCTGTCGACTACCTCCCTCCCTAGCTACCTAGCTACCTATCAAGACGAAAGACGGACGGACAGTGCCACAATGAACCGTTTATACTTGTCAATTCAATCCTCCCGTCTCTTCCTAGTATGGATATATTAGATTGAAATATTGATACCTACTAGATAGGTAGTAAGTCTAGACTAATAATTATGAATTTTAGCCGTGGGTGTGTAATAATGTATGTTTACTCGTATATGTATAAATAATGTAATAATGTGATAAATAATATAGTTACATGTAATCTGTACATTTACTTATATTCATCCCATTTACTGAAATGAACAGTCCAGACGGACAATCTGGACTTCAATTGCTCACCCGCAAAATAAGAAGGCTTCTATAAAGTTCTTCTATTCATATCCATTATATCCATATTCACATCTATTTCCATAATTAATCATCATAATCCCTTCAATCTGGATTCACCAGAATCCAAATCGTTTAGTTATTTAACTTTCGTCTTTCTATTTGTGGGGTTCGGGGAGTACCAAATCATAAATAATCCTGGTCTAAAGTTGTTTGTTCACTTGCAAACTCTAGAAGCAATTCTCTTTCTTTAATCCTCCAATCTTTAATCTCCAATCCACGCTGGGCACTTCTCACTTCGGACTTCTGACTTCTGACTTCTGACTTCTGACTTCTGACTTCTGACTTCTGACTTCTGACTTCTGACTTCGGACTTCTGACTTCTGACTTCTGACCTCTAACCTCTAACCTCTGACTTCTGACTTCTCACTTCTCACTGCTCACTTCTCACCACATCTTTTCTTTCGTGATAGCTTTTTGGTAATCGCTCTCAACCACCACCATCTTTTGTAAATCTTATCATCAATCGACCACCACCTTTCCTTCTCCAATTCTCTTCAAAACCGATCCTTTACATAATGATGCATATGTTTTGAATATGCGACGCATACATTGACCCGAAAATCAACAACTTGAGTTCTTGTAGTTCTCGAAGGAAGAGCTCAAGCTACTAGGCTTGCGCGGCAACCTTCGGAAAATAATTCGACGACTTTCTTGGATGATACGATACTCCTGATGAATTCGAAACATCGCAAAGAAATCAAATTGAAATTCTACGAGTCCAAAACTACACGATCGAGGAAATTGTGTGCGAGTGTAGCAAATCGTTCGATTGCGAGGCCGGATTCGGCTCAAATCAACAAGGCAGTTTCCCTGACCTATCCTCGACGACCAAACATATAACGGTCTGGAGATGAGGATTGGTATCAGGCTGCAACTTGGCCTGGTTGTCCTGGTGGCTGCTCTTGTTCCATTAATTGTGCTTGCTCTCGCTACTTGGTTCAACAATTATAGCTTTACAGTCGACGTTAAAGAAAATGCACTGAGTCTTACTGCATCACTCAAAGCCGCTTCAGTGGCCTCCGATCTCCTCCTAATCCAGGCCACATGCTCGACCATTGTCACTAGAATCCTTATCCAGCAGGCCATTCGCGACTTTTATAGTGGAGTACCCGAGTGGAATGAAGCAAGACAAGATGTACAAAGCGCTTTGGCTTCTGGTGGTCTATCTGCATTGCTTCAAGTAATCATATTCTCGCGGAATGAGACGGGTTCAGTCAATGGGATATTAAATGTCACGGCAAATGCATCCGGTAGGTCATCTTCTCTCACAAATATAACTCATACTAATCGCTTGGAGGTGTTGCAGATATTAAACTTCCCTATAATAACTCATTGAATCAGCCCGCTTTCCTAGGCGATGCTGATCAGGGATACCCAGCGGCTTTGTATCCGAATATCTCATATATCCCAACCACAGATCCCGACCCAAATGCTCCAGGAACGAATTTTACTGAGGTATACGCATTTGCCGATTACCCACTGAATAAAAGTGCTGCTCTTCTACTCGGACCTTTACAAATTAACAGCACCTATGCTTTAGTATCGCTGACCTTACCGATTGTCGAGAATTCGAATCCCGATTACGTTTTAGGTTATATGACTGTGGTAGCAGCCGCAACTTCGCTAATCGATGTCATTTATTCTCGGGAGGGCTTGGATAATACAGGAATAGTGTTGGTCGTGGGAACCAATCGACGAGAGAACCAGTTCTCGTACGTGTCGAGACCGGCTACAGCAACTTACGAGCCCGACCTCCATAATTTGACAAAAGCGAGTGTCAAATACGTTTTCCCTCCATATCCTCTTGAAGGACAAACTGATAGACATTCTGTCTACAATGCAAATTTGACTAAATATGGAACCTCGAATTTTAGCGAAGGCCAATATCCGGCTATTCTAGATGGGTTTGGACGACAGAATCCGAAAGTCAATAATGCCAGTAGTTATATCACAACTACAAATGAGCAAGGAGTAAAAGTGTCGGTAGGCTGGGCAAGACCACAAAGTGTACTGGTTGATTGGCTTTTGATAGTAGAACAAGCTCATTCTGAAGCTTGGGAACCCATTATCAAGCTTAGGAATATCTTACTTGCATGTGTTTTTGGTACATTTGGATTGATTCTTATTGTGGTAAGTTCTTTTATTATAATTTTTCTTCCCTCGCCGTGGTTTCCAATAGACAGTCCGGGCTTCAACCCGGTATCGAACAGCTGTTCAATCTTGATTTCAATTACATTCTGGTATTCTTCTAGATATTGGATTCAAGTTGAACTGCAAAGCTTGTATCTAGTCTGCTAGCTCGGACCATTGAGCATATATCCAATGCCTCTTGAAATTTGTCTCTCTTGGCGAATTGGATGTACTTTGTCCATTCAGAATTGCTAACAACGACAAGGTTATACCGATGGCTCATTTCAGTGTTCGACCAATCAGAAGACTAAGAGATGCCACGAAACAATCCATTCAGCCACCGGGTTACACGCCGCGTCAAAGTATAGACGATGATTTATATGGCGATGACGAGGTCGGCGAGGGCGATTCAAGCGGGTACAAGAAAACGGGATTTCTGGTCCGACTGAGAAAATTGACACAATCAGGGCGTCGTGTGTCCAAAGCAGAAAAATCAGAGGCCGATAGACGAAGAGATTTCAAAATTCCTGGAAAGGTACCTGATCGAAGACATTGGATTGAAGACGAACTCACAGATTTAACTTCGAAATTCAATGAAATGAGCGACGAATTGCTGCTGCAATACACGAGTCTCGAATCTAAAGTTGCCGAACGCACGGAACAACTTGAACATTCTAAAAAGGCGGCGGAGGCAGCAAATGAGAGCAAAACGTTATTCATTGCGAACATATCG